GATGTCATTTTCCAATAAATGTCCAAGTAGCCATTCTAATATGCAGTCATGAATGGGTTGACATTATTTATACAATTATTACAATATTCCAGCAGTCTGCATAACAGTAAATCTTCTATTTTTTGTTTGAATAAAAATTCAAAATGGAAATCAAGAGTAATATCAGAGGGGCCTGGAGACGTGACTGATGAACATAGAAAATGTTATTTTAGAGCCAGGAATGTCTGCATTGTTCATTCTGGACCCTATTTTGAAATTGTCATATTTTTTATTTTTCGTGAAATTGGCCAAATTGCAAATTTCTGACCACGTTATTGGGTAGTTAAAATCGGTAAAGAGGCAGTTTCTTATACTCAATCGATAGAAAAAAATGGAGTTCTAAAGAAATAGCTATGAATTTGGTTGACTGGAGCAATGGAATTAGCCGAAAATAGGACTCAAAGTGGGCGAAATCGCCGATTCATAAATATCGCCAAGGTTGCTAGCTTTGTGAGAGCGTAATTCCGTCAGTTTTCCATCAAATTTCATTCTTTTGGTGTCAATACAATCGGGAAAAGATTCTCTATCAAATCATTGATTTTTTTTTTTTTTTTAAATTTTGTGACACCAGTTGACACCTCAGGATTTGGGGTTGCTACAGTCAAGGGGTTAACCAGTGCCCTTCTTAAATTTTTACCAGTAATATCACAATTAGATATGCTGATGATATTCTTGTGCATACTAAAATGCATTGTGAAAATACAAACCACTCTAAATCATATACAGATAGCATGTGATAATCTTGGACTTAAAATTTCTGCAGAAAAGACCAAAGTGTTTATCAGACACATTGGTAACTGTAAAAGTGAACCATCAAAATGAAAGGTTAATGGGAGCCCTACTAATAGCTGTGAATAAAATTAACCAGCAGTGTAAGGAGAGACTTAAAGCTCTCAGAATTGTTGTAGGGTATAAACCCATACAGTGGACCCTCGACTAACGCTATTAATCCGTTCCTGAGAGCTCATCGTTAGTCAAAATAATCGTTAGTCAAGTTAATTTTCCCCATAAGAAATAATGGAAATCAAATTAATCCGTGCAAGACACCCAAAAGTATTGAAAAAAAAAATTTTAACACATGAAATATTAATTTTAATACACACAAACTGAACAAGACATGCACAGTTACATGACACTTACCTTTATTGAAGATCTGGTGATGATTGATGGGATGGGAAGAGGGGAGTATGTTGATGGTCTTAATGTTTAGAAGGGGAATCCCCTTCCATTAGGACTTGAGGTGGCAAGTCCTTTTTCGGGGTTACTTCCCTTCTTCTTTTAATGCCACTAGGACCAGCTTGAGAGTCACTGGACCTCTGTCGCACAACATATCTGCCCATAGAGGCCTGTACCTCCCGTTCCTTTATGACATTCCTAAAGTGTTTCACAACATTGTCAGTGTCACCATTAAACACTTGTTCAGGTTTCAGTCCTTCACTGTCTATGTACTCCTTGAATTCCTGCACATATTTTTTCAACTGCTTTTTGGTCCAAACTGGCAGCCTCACCATGCCTTATCACTCTATGTATGCCACTACGATTCTTAAATCTCTCAAACCAACCTTTGCTGGCCTTAAATTCACTCACATCACCACTAGTTGCTGGCATTTTTCTAATTAAATCGTCATGCAACTTCCTAGCCTTTTCACATATGATCGCTTGAGAGATGCTATCTCCTGCTATCTGTTTTTCGTTTTATCCATACCAATAACAGTCTCTCAACATCTTCTATCACTTGCGATCTCAGTTTCGAAAACATAGTTGCACCTTTGGCAAGAACAGCTTCCTTGATTGCCGTTTTCTTGGCCACAATAGTAGCAATGGTTGATTGGGGTTTTGTGTACAGCCTGGCCAGCTCAGAGACATGCACTCCACTTTCATACTTAGCAATGATCTCTTTCTTCATATCCATAGTAATTCTCACCCTTTTTGCTGTAGGGTTGGCACTAGAAGCTTTCTTGGGGCCCATGGTGACTTATTTTGCAGGTGCAATCACTAAAAAGGCTGTGATAATATGAAATGTTCTGATTGTATGCTTGGAAGCGACCGCGGTGGCTGGCTGGCTTGTAAACACTGGCCAGAAGTGGACGCATCTCAGACGGAACGAATAGTGTTGGTCGAGTGCTAATCGAGGCAAAAATTTTGCGATTAAATGTATCGCTAGTCAGATTTATTGTTAATCGATGCCATCGCAGGTCGAGGGTCCACTGTATATGGTACAAACGTTAGAATTGCAAAAATGATGTACTTATCATACATAGGATCATTCATGGATTACCAAGCATCACTGTTGAAAGACTTGAGAAAACACAAAATGATGCCCTGAGAATTATTCAGGGCTGTCTTATAACAACTAAAATTATTTGATGGAAGAATTAAGAATACTTACTGTTGCTGTAGGTTAAGATGAGATTTGTTCGGATTTTTAACCCAGAGGGTTAGCTACCCGGGATAACCCAAGAAAGTTAGTTCGTCATAGAGGACTGTCTTATTTCCATTGGGGTCCTTCAATCTTGTCCCCCAGGATGCAACCCACACCAGTCAACTAACACCCAGTTACCTACTTAGTGCTAGGTGAACAGAAACAGCAGGTGTAAGGAAACATGCCCAACATTTCCATCTGTGTCGGATATTGAACCACAGACACTGTGTGTGTGATCAAAACAATGTTGTCTAGAGAATTACTGAAAAATGTAATTCAGGGAACAAGTGAAACAAGATGGTTTCAGATAACAGCCACACACAGCCTGGTTGATCCGGTACCTGGTGAAGATACTTGTCCAGCTTTCTCTTGAAGGCTTCTATGCTTGTTCCAGCCATGTTTCTGATATCTTTTGGTAGCTGTTGAATAGTCTGGGGCCACGAATGTTGACACGTACAGTATTCCCTTATTGTCCCCACCGCACCCCTGCTCCTCACTGGGTTTATTTAGCACTTCCTCCCATATCTCTCACTCCAATATGTTGTTATGGCAGTGTGCAGATTTGGGACGAGGTCCTCTAGTACTTTCCAGGTACGTATTATCATGTACCTCTCTCCTCCATTCCAGCGCGTACATGTTCAAGACCTTAAGGCATTCCCAGTAATTTAAGTGCTTTGCTGGCTCAGTGTGTGCCATAAACAATCTCTGAATTTGTTCCATTTCTGGTATTGCCCCTGCTTTGAATGGGGCTGTCAGCACTGAGCAATATTTTAAATGAGAGAGCACTAGTGATTTGAAGAATGTCACCATTAGCATTATTTCCCTTGTTTTGAAAGTTCTCAATACCCACCCCATCATCCTCCTTGCTGTCATGATCTTTGTCTTATTATGTTCTGTAAAAGAAAGGTCAGCTGACATAATTATTCCCAAGTCTCGTGTGTGTTCCTTTTGTTCTCTTTGGCAACCCTCTTGAGTTTTGTATGCAGGATATGGCAAAACATATTGTTAATGATATCTGAAATCTTGAGGTTGTATCCACATTTTACATCAGCTGAATGAATGAGATGTTTATATAGATATTGCAACTCAATTATGACTCGGTTATTTAGTGGTAATAATTTTTTTTTTTTATAGATTTTGTTCTATACTGTATTTGTACATCTACTATTTAAATTAAGATGTGAAATGACTAATATTTCTTTCTAATGTTGTAACAATGCCCAATGAGGTCTGATAAAGATCTGTTGTGACCTCTGGAATCCTCTTTTTTGCACTACCACTCAAAGGACGACCATGGGGTGCACAATAAACTAGTTGCTTAGGTGGCACAACTAAAACTGCAATCATATTTACCTGTACAGTATATATCCTGTATTTTTGTTCTTTCTGGCAAGCCTTTTACATTGTATATACAGTACATGTAAATAGTATACAGTTGACCCTTGAACTACAGGGGTTTGAACTGTGTGAATTCACTTACACGTGGATTTTTTTCAATAAATATACGTATTGGAAATTTTGGGGGGAGATTTGCGACCAAAAAATTAAGAAAAATGAAGTATGTCATGAATGCATAAAATATATGTAGATACGTGTATTAATCTATTGTATCATTTACTACCATAAAATATACACAAATCTATTATAAAAAGTCACATTTATCAAAACTTGCACAAACAATTACAGATAGACAAAGACAAAATTTATTTCTTTGCAGAGGTTACAGTGTGTATTGACATCTTATACATGTTAGGTACAAAGAAAGCCACTGATTTGCCAGGGCATTTCAGGCAGACTAATCATTGTACATGTTTAATTCACATTCGAGAGAAATATAAACAGATGTAATGATGCAATATTAAAGCATAAATATGAATTTCTTTTTCGCATTGTTTCATTTTTGATGTCTAGTGTTAGTAATACAGATAATATCGACAGCATTTTATATCATGTAAGATAGTATTGATGTAGGTACTGACAGACAGAATATTCATCTTGTAAACACACGATGTAATCTTATGGTATCAGTAAATACAGTAGTATTTTCTCTTCCTTATGATTTTCTTAACATTTTCTTTTATCTAACTTACTTTATTGTAAGAATACAGCTAATATGTAATACATATAACATACAATGTGTGTTAATTGACTGTTTGTTATCAATAAAAATTCAGGTCAACAGTAGGCTATTAGTAGTTATGTTTTTTTGGGAATCAAAAGTTATATGTGGATTTTCGACTACTTGGGGGGGTCGGTGCCCTTTACCCCCAGTGTTGTTCAAGGGTCAATTGTGTATATACACAGTGTCTACATATGACCAGTGTGGTAAAGAAAAAATTTATGTACAGTGTTCTATGCAGTATATAATTTATTTATGTATATGCTACATGGGGAAATGAGTTCTTCCTCCATTAGCCATGTGTGTTGTAAGAGGCAACTAAAATGTCAGGAGCAAGGGGCTAGTAACCCCTTCTCCCATATAAATTACTAAATGTATAAAAAGAAGAAAAATAATAAAACTGGGTCTTTTTTTTTTCAGGTCACTCTACCTCAGTGGGAGACAACTAGTGTTAAAAAATGTAAATACATATGTACTACTATTTATTTTGATTATCAGCAGGTTTTTTCATCTCCAACTTTCTCTTAATTTTTTTCTATTAATTTTATAACAAATCTTGTTAATGATATTGGCCTGTAGTTTAAAAGGTCTTGTTCTTCACATTTATAAAGACTGACATTGTATCTTGTTTTCTATTTGTTAATTTTCCTTCTATTGAAATCCCTCAAAATTTCTTGAATGGATAGCCTTAATTTTTTGTTTGCACATTCTTTAAGAACTCCATTGTGTTATCTCATTAGGCCTAAGAACTCAATTGTGTTATCTCAGGCCCTGTTTACTTTTTTCAGCAATATATTTTAGAAGAGCATCATTAAATTTTCAAAATATCTTTGAGATGGAGTACAGTTCAACCCTAGAATTTGCAGAAACAAGTTCCCAGTTTTTCTATGAATCCCAGCCTATCCTTTTAACAGTAGTTCACTGTTGCTAAAACAGCCTAATGGGCCACTGTTTAACATGCTTTAAACACTGATTATCTGATTAAGATTTTTCTAATGCTCATGGTGGGGTCTTGTTTTCTGTTTGTGTCGGAACTTTTTTAGTGCATTTATTTTATATTCCATTTGTGTTGTGTTATAATTCGTTTATTTTCATGAATAGAGAACAGTCTAATGTAACATAAATAATGTAATTAGAGAAACTTGTTGCAAACTGTGAGAAATCACAGGTTGTGGTTCGTACATTGGGTTGCGTGCGGCCAACAGTAACAACCTGGTTGATCAGGCCCTGATCCACCATGAGGCCTGGTCACAGACCGGACCGTGGGGGCATTGGCCCCCAAAACCCTCTCCAGGTATAGGCTATGAACCCAAGTGCAGTGTGGATAATAGAAAATTTCACATGAACAGTTTTAGAAGTTATTGACCATATCTCATTAAATATTGTTTTAATGTGCTTAATAAAAGTTGTATGCCAAGCAAGAAAAACAGTTGGCACCAAGAAAATCCTTGAATAATTGAAGCTATTTGCAGCATGCCTTTTGGTAAAAACATTATTGTTGAATTTTCTGGATTATGGAGCACACAAGTTCCAGGGTCCATCTGTACAGTAGTAATGTACAGTACTACTGTTCACTAGCCCAAGATTGACCACTGTATGTAACTTCCAGGTTTTAAGAATAGTACTGAAGCCAAAAGCAGAAAATGATAGAGGGCACATCACCAATGATCCAGGCCCTCTTGGGTACCCTCTTGACTTGGGGTCTCACAGCAGCTGGGTCTGCTGTAGTCTTTCTTCTAGCAGGCACAAAGGTTAGCTTCATAGCAATAGTCTTAAATTATTATTTAACTTCATTTTTATATAAAATTTTGTAAAAAAATAAATTAAGATAAATTTAATTATTTACTTTGTATTAATAAATGTGCCTCCACATATATAGCCAGTGTGTATAGAAAAATATATTGTACAGTATAATCGTAAGTTGATCTCTTCATTAGTAATAGTTCTTTATTTTTTCTAGAGAAAAGTTTTAGATGGGAGTTTGGGTTTTGCTGCTGGTGTTATGACAGCAGCATCTTTTTGGTCACTACTGGCACCTGCCATAGAACTTGCAGAAACTTCAGGCTCTTATGGTAATGATGGAGAGTGGGCCTTCTTGCCTGTTGCAGTTGGCTTCCTCCTTGGTGCCTTATTTGTCTATACTGCTGATGTGTTTATGAGCTCAACTAAGACGTACTTGCCAAATATTTCTCTAGGTAAGAAATTTTTAGTATAAATGACTTAAAAATTTTGTACTGTAATTTTTCTTAGCTTAGCAGTAGTCTTTCATAAATCTAGACGGGACCTGTAGAATTGCCACTGTAAATAGTTTAGTTTTGGCAGAAACCTTGAATTAAACTAGGTCTTGTATTATACTTTTTTTTTATGTACAATACTGTACTCCCATAAATGGAGATTATTTTTGAGAAAAGTTTATTTTCTTTAAAAATTAATTTAATACTTCATATGATTATATAGAATGTGATTGGATAAGTAAAATACAATATTTGTGCGTGTTATTACTTAACCCTTAAACTGTCCAAACGTAGATCTATGTTCACGTGCGGGGGGGCTCCGAACGTAGATCTACGTTTTTTTACGTGCTTTCAAATGGGGAAAATAAAGGTCGGAGTACTACGCACGTGAACGTAGATCTACGTTTGGACAGTTTAACCCTTAAACAGTCCAAAAGTATATATACGTTCACTCGCGTAGTGCCCCAAATTTTTTGAGGAAAAAAAATCTTTTAAAAGGAAAAAAGAGCATATGGTGCCCAGGCATCCCCAATTATTTTAATATGGCGCACAGTGAGTGCACACACCCATTCTCTCATGTCTAGGTGACTCGGGCTTATTGTGGCAATGTTGAATGAATGACAAAGAAAACGTATACTATATACGTTTGGGGCGCTACGCACATGAACGTATATATACGTTTGGACCGTTTAAGGGTTAAGGGTTAAGTAAGGATAGATACCATTGCTGTTTTGATTTGGATTCTTTATCTACAGTCATTGCATATAAAAATACAGTGGACCCCCGCTTAACGATCACCTCTCAATGTGACCAATTATGTAAGTGTATTTATATAAGTGCGTTTGTACGTGTATGTTTGGGGGTCTGAAATGGACTAATCTACTTCACAATATTCCTTATGGGAACAAATTCGGTCAGTACTGGCACCTGAACATACTTCTGGAATGAAAAAATATCATTAACCGGGGGTCCACTGTATAACAAATCAGGAAGCCCATAAGATACACAAAATTTTGGAAAATGCACATCATTTCCATTGGTTTATGGCTTATTGGAAATATTATTGTAAATTAACTAATATTTCTAATTTATAACTTTTTTTTTTTTTAATGTTTGTCATTTGCCCAAATCACCTGTCCTAATAATATTTATCTTGAAAGAAAACTTTATTTTCTTCCCTACAGCTCTCCAAGCAGACAGGAAGAAAACTGACAGGGATAATGGAATAGCTCACCATCCTTCATATTATTCTTCAGACTCCTGTAAGTTGTAATTGAAAATATATTGGAATAAATTTAAGTTCCTCATCTTTTGATAAATACATCCATGTATAACTTGCAGCTTATTACTACATATGTTTTACAATTTGTTCATGAAATGTGAAATATATGAGTGTAAGTTTTTTTTTTTTTTTAACAAGTCGGCTGTCTCCCACCGAGGCAGGGTGACCCAAAAAGAATGAAAATCCCTAATAAGAAAATACTTTCATCATTCAACACTTTCACCTCACTCACACATAATCACTGTTTTTGCAGAGGTGCTCAGAATACAACAGTATAGAAGCATATACATACGTATAAAGATACACAACATATCCCTCCAAACTGCCAATATCCCAAACCCCTCCTTTAAAGTGCAGGCATTGTACTTCCTATTTCCAGGACTCGAGTCCGGCTGTATAAAAATAATTGATTTTCCTGTTGGTCACGTCGTTACCAGGATAGGTTGGCGCAATTTCAACAAAGTAGAAAATGTACATTTTATACATTATTTGGGTAAGAAAGTTAGCCCTTTCACTGTTTCTTGCACTAAACTATGTCATCAAGACCATCGTCACTTGTGTAAATCATATATGCTGTGATCTGTAAATTTTGGCCTAGTCATTGAGAGAGTGGGTGTGTGGTGGAAGTGCGCAGTATGAAAAAATTCTGCCTACAGTATTGATTAGAGACTGATTTTGAATTGGATTTTTTTTTTTGTGTGTGTGTGTAAAATTTACCAAATTCCTGCCTTATGGTTCCTATATAAAGTAGTTCTGATAGATGAAGGGGCATCTTTGTGTGCTCAATAGAGCAGAATACATACTAAAAAAGTAGCCAGAAATTGGGTCAGTTTAAGCAGTGAAGTTTGCCTAAAATATTTGTGGTCATAATTATCAAACCAATCCATTATAACGCTGTCATTCATTAATAGTCCCTGGTATTCATGAAGTTCTTCTCGGTAGTCAACTGTATGCCTAACTGCTGTTTAAACCTAAGAATTTAATCCTTAGTGACTGTCATCCCAATTGGACAAAATTGCAGTTTCATAAAGTGCTCCCTGACCAGTTTTGCACCTACATAACTCTGTAAGTTTCCATTAATTTTCAGTCTTATTGCTTTAAATTTTTTTTAAATTGCAACACTTGTGGACTTTTAATTTCGGGGTCACAACAGTGAAAGGGTTAATAATCTGTAGTACTGTATAGCAATACTGTAGCAGATATGACTACATTTTTTATATATTTATTTCTGTGTTCTTGGAATTTTCCTTCACATAGTTGAAATAGTCCAATATAGTAATGCTGCTGCAACTGCATGGTACCAACAACCTTCCGATGAGTTATTACAAATTATCAAAATTTGAGTTACAAAAATGGTTAATTTGATGTCTCCCTTGTAAATAAAATGGTAGATGGTCTTCCATAGTGATGGAAGATGCTACAGAAAATTGGTTGTTATTCTTTTAGGTTTTCTTTCTTGTTTGTGACTTTTTAATGAAAGAGTTTAATAATATAACCTAATTTAATAACTTTCTGTGCAGAAGTACTTGAATTTCAGTAAATAATGCAAAAACATTGATTATGTGTGAGTGAGGTGAAAGTGTTGAATGATGAAAGTATTTTCTTTTTGGGGATTTTCTTTCTTTTTGGGTCACCCTGCCTCGGTGGGAGACTGCCGACTTGTTAAGAAAAAAAAAATGTAATACAAGATTCAAAAATATTGAATTTACTAGAGTACTTGAGATTTCTACATAACTTGTTTATGGGGTAAGCAGAACATCACTGTATTGGTCTGCAGTAGTTTTCCACAAACTATAGATTTTTTTTTCATCTTTTCTCCTTGTAGCTGTACTGTTGTCTTATTTCATTTGCACACACTCGTGTACCCTACTGTATTTTCAATTATGTGAGCATTTGACAGTTGTTATATAGCACTTTATAATTGGAATAACATTCAGATTATTGCTCCAAATAGGATTCTCAGATCAAACAGAATATGTAGATATACGTATTTGAAAACTAAAGGAAATTCTATTCTATCATTGTACCAGCCGTATCCCACCGAGGTGGGGTGGCTCAAAAGGAAAAACTTAAGTCTTTCCTTTCAAATTTAGTAATATATACAGGAGAAGGGGTTACTAGCCCCTTGCTCCCGGCATTTTAGTTGCCTCTTACGACATGCATGGCTTACGGAGGAAGAGTTCTGTTCCACTTCCCCATAGAGGACTAAAGGAAATATCCCACTAATTATGCTTTTGCATGTCGGGAGAGATTGTTAACAAACAAGTTAAAATTAAGTTGTATATAACTTTGCCCCCATAATTTAGAAATCTAGTTACATCAATTGTGATTTTGTTCCATTGTACTGTATTAAGTAAGTTGGTGTATATAAACCTTAGGCATAGTTTTAATTCTTAGTCATATTTTAAAGATTGAATTTTATTTTCCTTCAGATAACAATGAAGTTGGGCAAGGCTCACCTGCTAATTCTTTTACCTCTATCAACTTCAGTATGTATGCCATAATTCTTATTTTCACTAAATATTCTTTTTCTTTTAATTTTATTTTGTGGGTCAGAGTTCTGCCCATACTAATCTTAGGTTCAGTAACAGACTGTAATGAAAGATATACTAGTAGAAATTTGCATGGTAATGATGAAGGTTTGAATAAGTGGATGCTATTTATTTTAGAAACTGTTGCACATGTATAGAGGCAATAGAATGCCATAAAAATGTAAAATTAGGTGATGGGTGATATGGTAACTTAAATGTTGAAATGTTAATATAAAAATATGAATTAAATTGTTATTATGTCAGTTTTGCATTTACAGGTGCAGTCAAACAGCGAAGGGGTGATGCAGGGGACAAGCTGTCTCCTGCAGAAGATGAAGAATGTCAGTATCAAGAAAATGAAAATAAACTTCTTCAGTGGCGAAGAATATTGTTACTAATCATTGCTATCACAGTGCACAATATTCCTGGTAAATCTTATATTTAATTTGTGATGAATGTTTTACAGTGAAAGAAAACAGCATATACATGGTGAGGTACTCGGCATCATTTTCAGAATATTGTACTGCACCTGTCCATTTTTAAGAAATCCCTTAGCATTTTTATGTTTTCCCAAATTATTCTTTAACGTGTTAATTTCCACACAGCACATTATTATCTCCATTTGTTCTACATTAAGCACATGACCAAACAGGGATCATGTTGAAGCTCTTATCATTGATATAAAAAAAATTCTCCTTCATAATTGTTGAAGGACAACGTAAACCATAGAATTGATGAAGGAAAAAAGGTGGGTGGTGCATTGAGGTACCTGTAGAGACAAAGAGGATTATCCATGGAGGCAAAGGGAATGTATGAGAGTATAGTGGTATCAGCACACGTATATGGATGTGAAGCATGGGTTGTAAATACAGTACTGCAGCAAGGAGGGGGCTGGAGGCAGTGGAGATGTGTCTAGGGGCAATGTGTGGCATAAATATTATACAGAGAATTTGTAGTATTGAAATTAGGAGGTGTGGAGTTACTAAAAGTATTCTTCAGAGGGCTGAGGAGGGGTTGCTAAGGCAGTTTGGTCATTTAGAGAGGATGGAGCAAAATAGGATAAATTGGAGGGTGTATAAATCTGTAGTAGAGGGAAGGAGGGGTAGGGGTTGTCTGTAGAAAGGATGGAGGGAAGGGATGAAAGAGGTTTTGTGTGCAAGGGGCTTGGACACACAGAGGCATGTGTGAGTGTATTACATAGGAGGAGTGAGTAGAGACAAATGGTTTTTATGACTTGACGAGCTGTTGGAATGTGAGCAGGGTAATATTTTGTGAAAGGAATCAGGGAAACTGGTTAGCCAGACTTGAGTCCTATGGTGAGAAGTACAATGCCTGCACTTTAATAGAGGGGTTTGGGATATTGGCTGGAGTGACATCTGAACTGTTCTATCTGCATGCCTCTGCAAATACAGTGATTATATGTGAATGATGGTGAAAGTTTTTCTTTTTTGGGTCACTCTGCCTCGGTGGGAGATGGCCAGCGTGTTGAAAAGAAAGAAGGAAAAAAGAATTGTTGAACTGAAGCCAACTGAGTATTAACCCTTTCTCTGTTGGGACCCTGAAATTAGAAGTGCTGGCAGTGCCAGAATTTAAAAAAAAAAAAATGGAAAAATTTTTCTTGAGGTAATGGCATTGAAAATACAATATTTAATGAAAAACCTTGGAGAATTACACAGGTACACAGTTTGTGGCCTTGACTCAACTTGTGCAGTGGCAATTTTTTCCCAATTTGGGTTCATTTTTAAGCCAATTCCATTGCTCATTTGTCATAAGTTCCTAGTCATTTCATTTGTATGTCCATCATCTTGCACAAAAAAATTTACCCTCTTTCTCGGATAATAAAATATAACCAGGAATGATTGGTCATGGTTTAGAGCATCCCAATAATTTAAGCAAACCTAGTAAAAGCCCATAAAACAGACCATGGGGTAGGGGGAGGGCCTTTCCCTTCCTCAGGAATATCATCAGAAGCTGAACATTTCTGCTACTTTGAGCCCTATTTAAGGCTACTTCTGTTCCTCAAACTGACCAAAATCATCTCTATTTTGGTAGTATGTTTTCCATTTTATCATTTGAGACCAAGAAATGGCCAATAAAACCTTTAAAACCATCCTAAAAAACACCTCAAAGATTCCATTTTAAACCAAATACAGGGTCAGAGGTTTACTTTTGCCATTGTTCACTATATAGGGCACAATGGGCTGTTAACCCTTAAACTGTCCAAACGTAGATCTGCGTTCACATGCGTAGCACTCTGACCTTGATTTTCCCCATTTGAAAGCATGTAAAAAAAACGTAGATCTACATTTGGAGCCCCCCCACACATGGACGTAGATCTACACTTGAACAGTTTAAGGGTTAAGTACAAGGTTTATTTTAAACTATTTTTAAATTGAAATTTTTTAAAATTTGTGTAAAATTGGCCACATTACTAACTTCTGTGCACATTATAGAGTAGTTCTGATAGTTGAATGGCTGATTTCTTGTGCTTGCTAGATAGAATGGAAAACATACTAATGAAATAGCTCAAAATTAGGGCAAAAATACTTCGTTCCTACTGAAAATATTCAGACTTTCATTAGTACTGATCTGTTTTACTTAAAGGAAGGTTTTGATTGTTACTCAGCTGAGTAGAATCTGCAGAGTGGCATCTGCTCTAAATGCCAATTTACAGACTGATTTTTTTTAGCTTTATAATAAATCGAACCCAAAGGGCATTGAAATGGGCTTAAAATAGAACTTAGTCAACGATATTGTTGATGTGTAAACTCCACCCAGATTTCTGACTTTGTGCTTGCGTAATTCCACAAGTTATGTGTCTAATTTTACACTTTTGGTGTCATTACTTTCTGAAACAGATTCTCTGTCGTTTCAAAGTTTTTTTTTTTTTTTTTTTTTTTTTTTTTTAACTTGCGACTTTTAATTTCAGGAATCGTGACACTGAAAAGGTTAAGGTTGACCATTGAAATCCAGCATTTTTTCATGTATATGCATTAATAAATAATCAATTGATCTAATTTTTATGTCCTTTTTAAGTTATGTTAAGTGTGAGGCATTTTATTTATATATTTTTATTTTCTGCAGAGGGTTTGGCAGTTGGTGTTGGCTTTGGTGCTATAGGTAAAACTCCACTTGCTACATTCAACAAAGCTAAGTAAGCTATACTATGCACTTTCATTCTTATTATACATGTATGTATTTCACAATACTTTGTATTACGTTTTAGTCTGAAACTTAATAATGTATAAAGGGAAATAAAAAAAAAATGAGTATTCTTTCACAGATTTTCAGCACTACTCCCAAACTGCACTTTAGCAGTACATTTTTAGCACAGTAGTCATTCGCTGCTTAACAACCTTTTGGTCAACAACGGACCAAACAAACTTACTGAGCTGCCAGTCATATAAAAGTACAGTGGAACCTCAAAAATTGAACGTATCAAATATCGAACGTTTCGAAAATAAGACCATTTTTTCGGACAAACTGTGTCCCTATTATCGAACGCGCTCCTAATTTCGGACCGCCGGGTACAGGACCTGTCTGCCGGCCTGCTCTGTCCGCATCCCTGCGCAGGCACTGTGAGCAGTCTAGCTTTGTTTATGCTTGAGTGAACACTAACCTGCGCTCTCATTCACACATTTTACAATTATTTTGTTGTGTTTAGTGCTTGTGGGACTGTGAAATAAGCTGCCATGGGCCCAAAGAAACTTGCTAGTGGTACCCCTGTGGTAAAGAAAGTGAGAAACACCATAGATGTGAAGAAGGAAATAATACAGAAGTATGAGAGTGGTGTGAGACTTCTTGAGCTTGCCAGGATGCATGGGAAAAATAAGTCAACCATCGGTTCTATCCTGGCAAAGAAAGAACAAATCAAGGAAGCTGATGTTGCAAAAGGTGTTAATATGCTAACCAAAAAAAAGACCACAAATAGTTGAGGAGGTTGAGAAGTTGCTGCTGGTGTGGATCAAGGATAAAGAGATTACAGGTGATAGTGTTTCAGAGACGATTATTTGCGAAAAGGCAAGGAAGTTGCATGCTGATCTGGTACAGAAAACTCCTGGAACCAGTGCTGATAGTGAATTTAAGGCCAGCAGAGGCTGGTTTGACAGATTTAAGAAGCATAGTGGCATACACAATGTTTTAAGACATGGTGAGGCAGCCAGACAGTGAAGAATTCAAACCTGAACAAGTGTTTAATTGTGACGAAACAGGCTTGTTTTGGAAGAAAATGCCAAAAAGGACCTTCATCACACAGGAGGAAAAGGCACTGCCAGGACACATGCCTATGAAAGACAGGCTTACTCTTTTATTCTGTGCTAATGCTAGTGGTGATTTTAAAGTGAAGTCTTTACTTGCGTATCATTCAGAAAATCCCAGAGTGTTTAAGAAAAACAATGTCTTTAAGAACAAGTTGTGTCTTGTGGAAAGCTAATCATAAGGCATGGGTCACAAGACAAATTTTCAAAGAGTGGGTCTGTGAAGTGTTTGGCCCCAGTGTGAAAAAATACCTCCAGGAAAAGAAATTGCCACTCAAGTGCCTCCTGTTAATGGACAATGCTCCTGCTCATCCTCCAAACTTATTAGACTTCTTGTCTAAGGACTTCAGTTTTATAAAAGTGAAGTTATTGCCTCCTAACACCACTCCTCTCCTCCAGCCCATGGACCAGTAGGTCATTTCTAATTTCAAAAAACTCTACACAAAAGCAGTGTTTCAAAAGTGCTTTGAAGTGACCACAGACACTAAGTTGACCCTAAGAGAGTTCTGGAGGAATCACTTCAACATCTACAACTCCATAAGCTTTATAGGTAAGGCTTGGGAGGGTGTGACTTCCAGGACTTTGAACTCTGCTTGGAGACAATTGTGGCCAGATTGTGTCCAAAAGAGGGATTTTGAAGGGTTTGAGGCTGACCCTGACCCAGCTGACCCTCTGCCTGTTGTGGACTCTATTGTGGCATTGGGGAACACCCTGGGGTTGGAGGTGAGTGGTGAGGATGTGGAAGAGTTGGTGGAGGACCACAGGGAAGAGCTAACCACTGAAGAGCTGCAAGAGCTTCATCTGGGGCAATATCAGACCACAGCTGAGGAACTTGCTTCAGAGGAGGAGGAAGAGGGAGTGGATGAGGTGCCTTCTTCAAAGATTAAGGAGATTTGTGCCAAGTGGAATGATGTCCAAATGTTTGTGCAGAAGTACCACCCTGAGCAAGCTGAAACAAGCCATCTTTGCAACAAGTTCAGTGACAGAACCATGTCCCATTTTAGGGAAATGTTAAAGAGGCGCCAGAAACAGAGGACTGTGGACAGTTATTTTGTGAGGCAGGGGTCCAGTGACTCTAAAGCTGGTCCTAGTGGCATTAAAAGACAGAGAAGGGAAGTAACCCCAGAGAGGGCTTTACCTGAAGTCCTCATGAAGGGAGATTCTCCTTCCAAACACTTAGCCCAACTCCCTCTCTCCTCCTCCCTACCTTCCAGATGCCATCACCAATCTTCAATAAAGGTAAGTAAAAATTTTATTTTATATGTATTACTATACATAATTAAAAACTATAGTATTTGTTGTATGTAAAACTGTAATTAATCTCTATAAAATGTATTTTTGTGTGAATATTTTTGGGTTTCTGGAACGGATTAATTGTATTTCCATTATTTCTTATATGAGATATTGCTTCGAATTTCAGACTTTTCGAAATTAGAGCTAGCTCCTGGAATGGATTAAGTTCGATTTTTGAGGTTCCACTGTATAGCACATACAATAATGTGTAGTACATGATACTTGACGATAAACTATGTTACTGGTTTATGTATTTACTGTATGTACTGTACTTATTGTTGTTATGCTAGAGTATACTCTTTCTGCTTATAAAAAAAAAGTTTACTGTAAAACAGCATTCTGTTAAACTGGCAGTAGCCTCGTACATCTTGTGTTTATCATATCTTTTGATAGCATCATATTCCCTTGTGCTTGATTTAGTCTAGTGTTTTGTTCATCATGGCTCAAGCAGGAGAGGAAAAAGAACAACCCGCCAGACCACAACAAGCTCTTTAACCCTTTGACTTTCGGTCATATATATACGTCTTACGAGCCACCGTTTTTGACGTATATATACTCATAAATTCTAGCTGCTTCAAATCAAGCAGGAGAAAGCTGGTAGGCCCACATGTGAGAGAATGGGTCTGTGTGGTCAGCGTGCACCATGTAAAAAAAATCCTGCAGCACGCAGTGCATAATGAGAAAAAAAAACTGACCTGTTTTTTTTTTTTTAACCCTTTGAGGGTCCGTCCCGTAGATCTACGGCTTTACGTTCAGGGTCCAAACCGTAGATCTACGTCATGAGCTCGGCTCACTCTGATAAACTGTGAGTGGTACATTTGGACCTAGATATGAGAGAATACATCTATGTGGTATGTGTGCACCACATAAAACAGATCCTGCAGCACGCTGTGTATAATGAGAGAAAAAACTGAAATCATGATTTTTCGATTAAAACAGCGACTTTGCAGTGTTTTTTTGTATGTTTTTTTATAGTTGTATTTGCGATTTCTTGGTCTCGTTTGATAGAATGGAAGACATATTACAGAAATAGAGATGATTTTGATTGGTTTTAGCACTGGAAATGGCTTGAAACTGAGCTCAAAGTAGCAGAAATGTTAAATTTTTGCCGATATTCAAGAGTAAACAAACGACCTCACACATCTAATACACGCCAGCTGGTGGGTCTAATATGCATTCACAAATATGGTGATGATATTTATACAATTATTACAGTATTGCATAACAGTAAATCTTCTATTTTTTGGTGTGAATAAAAATTCATTATGTGAATAAAAAATCAAAATGGAATTTATTTGTAAAGCCTCAAAACGTAACTAATGAACACAGGAAATGTTAGTTTAGTTCCAGGAATACCTACATTGTTTATTCTGGACCCTATTTTGAAATTGGAATATTTTGAACTTTGTGTTAAATTTGCCAAATTAACAATTTCCGATCACTTTAATTTGTAGTTGAAACAGTTAACTTGGCGATTTCTTGTGCTCAATCAATAGAATAGAAGTAATACTAGTGAAATAGCTAACAATTTGGTTGACTGGAATAATGTAATTGGCCTAAAATGGGAGTCAAAGTCGGCAAAATCGCCGATTCATAAATATCGCTGACACATCAAAATTCGCGAGAGCATAATTTCGTCAATTTTCCATCAAATTTCGTACTTTTTGTTTTATTACCTTCAGAAAAAGATTCTCTACCATTTCATAAGAAAAAATAACAAATTTTTTTTTTTTAAATTCTTGGACACTGGGGCACCACTTCAGATTTGGGCCTTGGACCCTGAAGGGGTTAATTAAAATGCCGACTTTGTGGTCTTTTTTCGTATAGTATTTATAGTTGTATTCTTGTTTTCTTGGTCTCATTTGATAGAATGGAAAACATATTATAGAAATAGAGGTGATTTTGGTTGGTTTTACTATGAAAAGAATGTTGAAATGGAGCTCAAAGTAGAGGAAATGTTTGATTTTTGTTGATGTTCAGAAGTAAACAGATGATGTTATTTTCCAATAAATGTCCAAGTAGCCATTCTAATATGCAGTCATGAATGGGTTGACATTGTTTATACAATTATTACAATATTGCAGTAGTCTGCACAACAGTAAATCTTTTATTTTTTGTTTGAATAAAAATTCAGAATAGAAAGCAAGAGTAATATTAGAGGGGCCTGGAGACATGACTGATGAAAATAGAAAATGTTATTTTAGAGCCAGGAATGTCTGCGTTGTTCATTCTGGACCTTATTTTGAAATTGTCATATTTTTTAATTTTCGTGAAATTGGCCAAATTGCAAATTTGTGGCCATGTTATTGGGTAGTTGAAATCGGTAAATGGGCAGTTTCTTGTACTCAATCGATAGAAAAAATGGAGTTCTAAAGAAACAGCTATGAGTTTGGTTGACTGGGACAATGGAATTAGCTGAAAATAGGGCTCAAATTGGGCAAAATCGCCGATTCGTAAATATCGCCGAGGTCTCTAACTTCACAAGAGCGTAATTCCATCAGTTTTCCATCAAATTTCGTTCTTATTTCGTTACCTTATATTTTTATAATACATTGGTCCCTCGCTTTTCGTAGTTCTCGGCAATCGTAAATTTCACCAATCATAG